GGGGGTTCTCCCAGTACTGTACTCGGTCTTCATCTCGGGTTTTGCCTGATTTTATAACCTTCACTGGTTGGTGGTCCTCACATTATGGTTTGGACTGTAAAGTAGGGACAAGTCTATGAAGTCACCATGTGATGTGATGTCCAACAATGAGGGGACATGCCTATTTGTGGCTCGATCATGTGATCATTTTGGTCCAGTGAAACACAGTATTCTGGACAGAGGGGGCACTGCACTTGTTTTGGATTGAAACACCTGTAAACCTATACCTTCAGGGATTGATTTTAAAGATGAAGAGATGGAGCCTGAAACAGAGATAAAGGCAAGTAAGGGAAAAACTCCCACATGCTGGTCTAAATTTTACTGGATATCTGAATGAGCCCCCAAAGAGTTAAACAAAAGGTGAGATATACCTGCAAAGATGCCCACCAGCAGCACCACCACCCAGGCCGAGACCGCATAGAAGGCAGCCCTGACACGCCCCCACGCCGATGCGTTGCCGCGCCGCGTGACGGCCTTGTGTTCCTTACGATATCGCTGCATGTCCCGTGCCCAATCGATGGTGTGGAAATCCTCATACTGATCCAGACCAGTGCTTCCTTCATACAAATCTAGTAAACAAAAGAGGCCTCCCTTTTTTTACAAAGCAAAAATTGTGATCTTTCAATCAACCCGTTTTACCACAGGTTATACAGTTAGATATTAGATTAATGTTCAAGTAACTCCTCTGGCAGAAACACTTTGAAACCATCCTGAGCACAGCCATTTCAACTTTGGGTTTACAGACTTGAAATTAAATGGAATAAATTTCAAATACTGTACCGAATGAGGCACAAGTAAAATACAATAATGCACAGGATTTACACATTTGAAATAGCAATAACCTTTCTATCAAATCTATGGAATATGTACATGTGAATTGTTTCCACAGACTTGTCTGCCATGGTTAGCTTAGATTATTTACGTACGGGCTATAAAACTGGGTCAAGAAGTCTATTCTTTTCCCGATGGCAAAAGAATCTAAACGTGAATGTACATGTATACCCAAAACAGGCCTTGTCTTTTTTATACAAAATTTTATTTTTTATTCAAGCAATAATACCTAAATCCCACAGATGACTATCTATAAATTTACCCATACAAGGCAATCTGGAATTCTATTTAAGAAAAGAATTTATTTTTGTTGTATTGCAAGGTGAATGTCCATTGAAAACTGCTCATTGTACACTCGAGGTCATTCAAGAACATCAATACGAATGCCCAAGGTTGACCCCAATAGGGCAGCCGTATGCTAACCCACATGCACTGAACAGGCAGATGCTTTGTCTTTGAATGACCCTGCCATTTGGAAATTTATAGCAAACTGACTCATGTTACTGTAGTATCTTGAACTACCAAGGAGAGGCTGATTTGAAATATTGTGAAATTATACAGAGTACAACTGCCAATCCTCAGATTACCACACAAACTGCAGACATACGGTAATTGAACTCTGCAGAAGACAACCTCACAGTGCTTTGAAAAGTGAGCGTTGACTTTGCTGGCAAAGAGCTTACATTGTAAGTACATCTTGAACGGATGTGTATAACACACCATGACAATTTCTGTATGCAATATAGGGTGGTATTTATACTGGTCCCCACACAGAGTCTCAACTAGCCAATGGAGGCTAGGGAGAGTTGCATAATTCAGAACAGCTGGAACATTCCCATTGGAACGCTGTGTTCTCATTCCTGAACGGTTGGTCGTTCTGTTGGGAACAGTGGCATTCCACATGGAATGCTGTGTCCCTGTGTGAGAACAGTCTGACAGGAACATGCGTTCCCGTCGGAATGTCCTCATTCAGGTAGCTTCACATCACCCATGTACAACTCTTCAGCCCAATGTCCCAAAACGGAGCCTGCCATGATGAACGAGCACAGGTAAACTACATGTACTTTGCTTTTATGATAGGCCTAATTTTGAATAAGAATTGGAAGTAAACTGAAGATGGAAATGTGCTGTGGCAAGATTTGTTCATCTGATGATGGAAATTTGCTTTTCACTGAGATACAAAAGTGAAAGCACTACATGTACGTGCTGACTACATACAGAGTATATGTTGGTGTGCGTGTGTCACTACGCTATAGGCTGCAACGTGGAGATTACATGTTTATATAATTGCATTAGTCATGTCATTCAAGCTTTCTAGTGATTTTAAGACCTAACCCCAGACCCCTTCAATTACCGTTTAGGTTTCCAAATTGTTTCTGATATGATGGAATACCGGTACTTATAACTAGAAACATTGTGATGATAAAGCCCTCTACCACACAAGCCTGACGATGAATAAAACACTCGCGAGTACAGACGTTAACAGACATTACAGACGTCCAGAAATACTCAAAATTCATTGCACGGTAAGCTTTGTCGTGGTGAATATGGAAAAGAAATCACAAAATGCTGCACTCTAGCTGCCATGCTTCGGACACAGAAATCTTTTTTCCTGATTGTGAATTTCTAACAGCGGGACCGTCCACTGAGAGCATGCGCTGCCTGGCACGGTCAATGCACAAAGTGGAACGTGCCAGCGATGCAGGCACGTTCTGATGGAACACCAGCGTTCCGGTGGGAACAGTCTAACGGAATGGGAACATTCCCGATTTTTAAGACACTCCCTTAAGCACACATGGAGTCCTCATGCATTCATGTATCACAGCTGAATGTAGAAATATTGCTCCAACACTTTGTCTTTGAGTGTGAAAAAAAGGCAACAATGCAGTAAGAAATTTCGCATGGGGAACAATTTGCTGGGGAACAGTGGCATGCGAGACTTTTTGCTCAGCAGTATAGCTCTCAAGCCAAGCAGGCCTTAGCCGCCAGTTCAGACCAACAGGGGTATCACACTTCAGTAACCAGGTATGCAGCTGGCTTCGTATGGATTGGGTTGGAAGGGATTAGCACACTGGCCCTGGTGCATGAATACAGGCGAGTCACAATAGTGCACCACCAAGAGTTTGCAACACATTGGCCAATCGTAACACGCAAAAGTTGTCGACCCTTTCCAAACAGGCATTGGGTCCACAAATTTTGCGCATTGTGATTGGCCAACGCGTTGCAAACTCTTGGTGGCCCACTATTGTGAAACGGCTGTATCATCTGTGATATAACGCTTTATATTTTCAGTTGCAAGTACCACTGCACCTGGCATGAGTTTACTATGACCGACTGGTAATTGAAACTTTTAAGGCAAGAAACGTTTGTAATTGAGGAAAGCTGTCGTTACCAGATCCATTTTCCAACCCGTTCATGCTGCGCCTATTGCGTGTAGATACCCCAATGAGGAATGATGATGACACATCGGTGTCTGTGCTGATGTCCAACAGGTCGTCATCATCGGTGACGGACGTTCCCCCATCGCCGTAGCTCCGCCTTCTGCTACCATCGCTGATCAACTTGTCCCGTTCCATGGTGCGAGTGTGCAGCTCAAACCAGCTGTGTGCAGTGAACCAAGTAGCATTAGAATGTGTACAATGAAAAGATCAAACCAATCACAAATAAAATCATGCACATTACACCCGGACAATTCTGCTTCAGAGCTGAATAGACCCAATTCCAATCACAGTCTAGGAATACACGCAATTCACACTACACTGCCCCCTCCACAAAAAAAGTTTTGCCATAACGAGGAATTTGTCAAATTTACAGTTGACAAAAATCTGGCTGGCTTTCTGTGATTTGCATTTGAGTGAATATCAGACTATATATGACTTCAGGAAATGTTTGATGCCTGTGGATTGGGGCATACTGTGCCTCACCAAAACATCTGGATAATTCAACACTGATACATGTAACACAAATCTTCCACCAAAGACAGGCAAATATCAGGAAAAACTCAAGTTCCCAGCGTGTAGTGCAACCTGCAAAAAGACTTTGTCAACAGTATCCCACAATGCACTAAAATCTGGCCTCTCTGTAGTAACCTCTTGGTGGCGTACTGTAGAGTGAATCACCTGCATTGTTACTGAAGTTAACTTTTCGGGGATTCTGGACTGCAGTAAATGACTCCAGCTAGATTTCAGACAGAATCGGACAATGTTGAATTGTTGAAGATGGGCCTACTTCAACATGCAGGGGTGTGAGTGGCCACTTAAACTTAAAAGTTGAAAACAGCTAGCAAAAAGCTGGAATGTGAAAGGTTCCCATACTTTTGTCCAGATCAGGTGTGCAAAAAAATTGAAAATCAGGGTCAACATCTAAACAATAAAAGCGGAAATCAGCTAAAAAGCTGAATTCTCACACTCCGAAACATGATTAGAAAGACCTGCCTTTCGAGATTTTCTTACACATAGCTTTCTTATGTCATGTTGTCAATTACCTGAACATAGTCATACTCACCATCAGCACAAAGCTCATGTTATGAACAGTTTTTATCTTGTTAATAGCATGTATATTTTAGAGACATCAAAATTGGGAACTCCCAGAAAAGTTATGAAATGCACAATATACATGTACATCTACCTGTAGCTGAATCAACATCATGGACACACAGTATCTCCAACTGCAAATTTTGTACTACAACCATCATACATGTACATGTACATGACTATAGAACACCGCACCAACAGCATGAAGTCCAATCAATATGTATACAGTACATGTACATGTATGTACAACAGCTGCACAATGGCGCAGGGACTGTTACAGAATTGTCCACTGCTGTAATTTCATTTCCTCCTTTGGCACGTGATCCACTCAAGTTTCATTAGTGTCTGCGAATCTGTTAAGATCTATGTGACAAATCAAAAATGAAAGCACGGATAACCAGCAACCTCAATGAGAGCCTTTATGTACACTTGTAACATGAATGTGCAATACAAAGCAAGGGACTTTAATACATGTACATACATGTACATGCGTGTATGTTGTATTGCCTTGTGGATGTGACAATTTTTACCATGGTATTGGTTTCAGAATTGTGTTTACTCTTGGAAAACCAATCAGCACTGTACTTCTGCAAAGGTATCCCACAATGACAAGCTTAAACAAGTTTGATCAGAGAGGAAAATGTAGAAACGAAACCGGACTGACAAACTCTCAGACACGCAGTTTATGAAAGGATCAATGCAATATGGTTCTGTCAGACATGCTTTTTGCACAACTTCAAACTCCAAAAACCTATTTTGATTAATACTGAGAAGTCCACTGTTTGATTATTCAAAATTGTCCACGCTAAGGGAGGTGCTGTTGTTGTGATGTCATTCAGAGAAGCCACTGCTCACTTTGGACGTTTCATGTTGAAATTGTGAAACCAAATTTTGCTCACTGAAAACCTTTATGAAAAAAAAAATGGCCCCTTGTTAACAAACATGACAACGAATCACCAAAGATGAGGAAAATTGGGGCAACCCCTGATTCAAGCAGTTTCTTGTGCACAAATCAACTCAACAGTGAGGTGTTCTGCCTGGAATGACATCAAAGTTTTGCTAGCAAATACAGAACTTTGCCTCAACATACAAACAAAAATACCAAATTAACCGTAAACATTGTAAAGCAAAAATTGAAAACAACGTTAACTGGGGCATGCAGACATTCAAGGGTCGAAGTACAAACAAAATTGCGCTGTATTTGATAACCGTTTAACTCAGAATATTTGTGATACTCATGCAAACATGTGCAGCTGTAATTTTCGCAACCAAACACAAGGCATTACATCGTTAATAACTCATTCTACTTGTTATTGTTGGGAAAAGTTAAAATTGGAGCAAATTTAATGGCCCAGTTGTGACTACCCATGGACAAAAGTTGTCATCCAGCCAAGTCATGAGTCAAATTATTTCAAAACACAAGTCTGACAACTTTCAAAACGGACGAAAAATGACAAAATAGTACCTGTCATTCATTTCTGTTTTGGACTTCAGACGGAATGACTTATGACTATTTATGGCTGACTCAATTACGAATGTACCACTGCTATCGGTTTTGTTGGGTAGGGTAGTTAATACATAAGATGGCTTGAACAGCCTGACAAATCAAGCTTTCAACTTTGCTCCACTGGCAAAAGAAAAAGAACCCAAAGACAACAACACAACACCAACTACAAGTTAGCAATCAGAGCAAAGAACTTACACTGACGGCTTGCCCGCCCCATCCTGATCTTTATCAGGACTGTCACAGGAGTTAAGCCTCGTGTAGTTCATGGCTCAACAGCCAGTGTTAGCAAGCCCTGCACACTGCATGCAATGTTTCCGTGTGCCTGTTTCTACACAGCTGCCGAGTAAGTGCAAAAGAAAAGGCTGGGGTTAGTCAGTCCTCTGCCAAAGAGTTGATTACAGAAAAAAAGAAAGATGATCACAAAAAATTGTCTAATGAGATGATCAGTGAATTTATGATTGTGGTACCTGTTTGTTTGACAGCTTTATCTCGATTTTCTGTAAAACACAGATCTCCTGTACTAATTCCTAACATTTCAACATCAGTGGAAGAAGTACAGGTGCAAACTCAACACTGTTTCCAAATAAGAGAGCAGCGTTGGCCCTCATTCATGCTTAATTTTAATACATGTACACATAATTCTGTATGGCCAGGTACCCTGTGGACACTAGACAAATACTTGCATACAGCTTCAGGGTTCACATTGTTGTGCATGCAAACCCCAACACTGCAAATTTCCCACACCAGTTTCCCTTAGGCCCTATTCATAGTGCTCCTTACCACTGTCCAAAACACATTCCACATTTCATATTGGTGTGCTCCATGTACATGTACAAGTGATTGAAAATTGAGATGTACAACAAACTCAAAATCTTTCATGTATTGAATGCGTCTTTTATGGTACGCCAATACTTTGTGAGCCCTCAAATTTTCCAGGATAATCTGGCCCATGTCATTATGGATGGACAGAAATGTACAAATGACTTGCAATACAGCTATATTTTCATGACTGATTCTAAAATCTATCAATGAGATGTATATACAGTATGTGCATGTACACGTACATGCACATGTACATGCACATGTATCTCTAAAAATGCAGAAACATGAAGCACAATGAAACGAACTGACCCAGGTCATGCAGTCATGGCACGGTGAAACTAACCACGCTTGAGGATCCATGAAATGTTCCATTTTTCCTCCTTTCGGTCGCAGGGAAATCAAATATTGAACGATTCCCTCGCAAGGCTAGTTTTACCATACCAAAACAAATCTGCAGGTCAGGCCAAGTGAAAAGAAGGAATAGGAGGCGGCAGCCATTTCAAAACAAAAATTCTATACAATGGCAGATGCATCTCTGGTGGTCATTGGCATCAAGATGCACCAGGATGCGTGCATCTTGGAAAATATGGAGAAAAACAAACGAAATTGAAACGGGAAAAGAAACTAAGCAGAAATTAAAATGAAAGGAAGAAAGGGTACAAACCACCAATGAGTGAAAACATCATCAAACACTGAAAACATAACAACAAATCTCACTCAAAACAGACTTCAAGAAACTTAAAGACCAACTCCAAGGATGTAAACCTTTCTCATATTGAATCTTATTCAGAAGAGCCAAGTCTAATAAAAGTGGCAGATTTCAATACATGTATCTCCCTTGTTATACACGTTTTGTACCCATTTTTCCTGCGAGTCCAGTCCGGTATTGTAAAAATGGACGTGTCGTCACGACTCATTCATGTCATTTGCATCTAATGAATATTGATTTTTAAGATGCATTACCGTGAAGAGGAAATACATGTACCACAGTGAGTGCACTTTAGGCATGCATGGCACGTGTAGCCACAGACAACAGCACGAACTTGAAGAGTGCTCTCATTCTTCGAAAACTTGAAGAATTTCAATCCCAGTTATTTCGCAGGATTTATACATTCACCAATGAGGCACAATTTTAGCATTACGGTTAATCATGAAGAAAGAAGCACAAACTCTCGACGGAAAAGAGATTATGCGACACAGTAGAAGCGGCACACAAATCTATCCTCAGCATGCGGTGCACGCACACGTAGCCATGGATACCAGTTTCAATGTTTTCTCAAGTATTACATCATACAAATTTTGTTTCTCAACAGTGCCGCCAGCGGTCAGATTGTGGAAATTTGTTCACAAAACTCTAATGCACCATTAAAAAGTTTCAGCAAAATTCCAAAAAATACAGATGCAATACAGACATGATTTGGTAATGAACATATAATTTATTACACACTAGACACAATTATAGTTTATTTTCAAAACTTTTTAAAGCGTTGGAGTTGGTCTTTAAAGGCTCTCCCATGCCTTCCAGCTTCTTGCAGTAAATTTCACACAACATTGTAACTGGTGTTTTTTGTGATTCAGGACGTACAGGATTGAGACACGATTATCTCTCTCAAATTCAACAAGTCAAGGCACAACGCAAGACGTCACATCACGGGTCATGGATGTACAACCTACAAATACACGACATGGACTATTGCATAGTACATTATGTTAGCCAGTACAAATACTCAAACACATGGCAGGGCCTAGCCTACCTGTCAGCACCAGGTAGTGAAGAAATGCATTAGTAGTGTGTAAATGTTGGGCACAATCAGTCGATTTGCACAATCACTCAATATTTGCATATCTGTACATGACTGCACAAATGTCTACAGTCAGATGGTGGGGCTATCACATGCAGGTAATGCTGTCATGGTGCCAGTTGGTGTTCGATTTTGAAATGTGCTTGGACAGAGAATACGGGCGATTCGCAAGAGTGCGCCACCAAGAGTTTGCAATGTGTTGGCCAATCATAACGCACAAAATTTGTCGACCCTTTCCAAACGCACACTGGGTCGACAAATTTTGCGTATTGTGATTGGCCAACACGTTGCAAACTCTTGGTGGCGCACTGTTGTGAAACGGCTGTATTGGCTAAGACAACAAATTGGAAAAAAAAGAGTTAGAAACACAATCACGCGAAGCTAAAACTTTTCACAACCAGCACCATGATCAGTGTCCTCTGCTGACACGACTGATCTGTTAATTCATGGAGGTCAATTAAACTGCATGATCTGATGATTTTATTAATAATTCCACCATTAGCCAATAACCTTTTGTGTGTAATTTGTAGTTGTCATTGAGGCAGATTATTTTCAGAAAGGAAAGTCGGACATAGAAGATCGAGTGATCGTGCCCAATATGATAAACATGGTACGCCTACATGTGTATCATGAGTAACCTTAATTCGCGCATACAAATTTTCGCGCATCCAACTTTCTTGCTGTGAAACTCTTGAATGAAATCATGCACAGACGTTAACTAACTGTCGATCAATCGTCACTTCAGAGTTCTCTGTCTGCAGCTATGTGCAAATTAAAAGCTTTTCCAGTGAGAGTTTGGGAAAAATGTCTGCAGAGCATAGTTTTTACTTAACAGACTAAATACAAAAATTAACTAGTTGAAATTGTCTAGAAAATGGATAAATGGTCGCTGTTCGCTCACGATCAGTGCTGGTCGTCCGACAAGGGCACTGATGACAACTTTGGTCAACTTTCACCAACTACTGAGGGCACTATGAAAAATTTGGAGCCTGAAAAAGCACTTTGCACCTTATTTTTTGAGATTTCCGTTGCCGATGATGGGCGTGGATTTGGCGGTACTGTATTTTGCAACTTTTTCAAAAAATAAACCTAGACAGAGAAGTGTTTTCATAATATCCAGATCAATTACCCACAGCAATGCTTATATGATTTATTTGTAAGAATTAAAATTTATGCCTCACGGTAACTTAAAATGAAATTGACTAACAGTAAAATCTAGTAAAACGAAAAACAGACATTGATAAAAAAATCAAGCTTTGGCAAATAAAAGGGCTTTTTTCTGTCAAACTGCATCACTACATCCAAGCAATTAATGCAAAAAATAATTCCTCATTCAAGAGACATTAACTGGCAGATTTTTCAGAGGTAGGGCATTACCGATAACCCCTAAAATGACGTTCACAACGTACATGCGCGAATTTTGGTGACGTACGTTTTACAGAAACAGGTCAACTCGTACCTCGGACAACTCGTACATCATCTCAACATAACTATACCAAGTCATACCTCAGACAACTCGTACCTTCACAGTAATCAGAGCTTGCTCAGAGCTTTATTATTATTGCAATCAACTTGAACGATACTTTGGTTTCTTAGTCGTGAGTTTGTCACCTGATTTGACATTTGGGCTACTCTACCTTCCCAACACGCTGCTGGGGTGACATTAAGGCATTAATGTGAGATGCGTCAATGTCAGGCGTGTGCTCAGGCAACTGGCACTGGTCAGCGTGGCCGGCCGTGATTGAATGCAATTTTCACCGGAATCTTCACCGTTGCTTAAGCGATAGTGAGCCTAAGTTTTCAAAATTTTGTATCAATATTGTAAAATATTTGGATATGACCTTGCATATCACTTATTGCCATCGATCCATTTAGAGCAGCTTGATTTATTCTTATATGATTTATTTTTTGCTGTCCACTGTAATGAAGTGATGTCATTAATTCAAATTTATACAGTAATGTCAGTTGTAACTTGTCAAAAAAAAAGAATTAAAAACAAGAGGCAACCATCCCCCAAAAACGAGTCCAAAAACATTTCCAAAAGAAACAAAGACATGACAAGTTTTATTAAGTACACCCCCAAAAATAAGTTACTAGGCAAAGCCATCATTCCCCCACAAAATGAAAAGTCCAATAACATTTTCCCAAAGCCACAATAATAAACTGAAGTCTCTTCCCCCCCAAAAAAAGAATGTTAATAAGGAAGGCAACCACCCTTCCCCCTCCCCAAAAAGGGTAATGAGTATCACAATAAATGAATAAATCGGTTCACTATTCCAGTTTACACTTGTAAGTTATTTCATAATTAATTGGATAATTGGATATGTTCACCAGCGGATTTCGAATTTAATGTTGTGAATAATTATCTACAAATAAAACTTTTGAAGATGATTTCAACGATCAGTGCCAGCTACCGCAGTAATTCCTGTTCACAGATTCCAGAAACTTCAATGTTGATATTGAGTCAATCAAAACCTATAGATAATGAAAAAACGGAGACAAAGAACAGCTTATGCTTGTATCTTTAAGATACAACCCAAAACTCCAAGATTGGAAGACACTATTTAAGGTCTCCCACACCAGCGGCTGCGTACTACGTACGAATGGTGCACCTTGCGTATGCCGCATCAGAGTCAAGGCCTCTCAACAGTTGAGTCAAGTTGATTAACGGTCAGATTGTTCAACATCCATCACGTAAACCGACGGCACTAACGCCTGCGGCAGGCACTATGCAGAAAATCATGCTTGCACTCAGTATTTATAAAGATCTTTCCTTGATATACACGTACATTGTCAAATCTGATCCTTAACCAAGCTGAAAAGGAAAAGCAAGAAAGTTACAACTGAATAGCCAACATGAAGGTACGAGTGGTCTTCACTCGAGGTATACTACGAGTTATCCAAGGTACATGTTGCCCATGGTCAGATGGTGCAAGTTGTCCAAGGTAGGAGTCATCCAATGAAGGAGACATCCAAGGTACGGATCAACTCAAAAACAATTTTACTGCAGCCATGACAGTCGATCCCACTCGTTTGCAGACAACATTGTCCCTGCTGCTTCGGTGACATCCGTTCTTCATTATTCCATGTAGGATTTTAGTCAAACTTTCAACTACCTGACTACTGAGAAAGAAGCCATCAGAAATTTAGTTTATCATATTTATATTTAGTTTATTTAAGAACAAAGTTTGGTCAAAGCATATGTAGCCTGGGCCTAATAACTGACTAAGTCCGCAAATATTCGTGACTCGGTCGTGGATATGTTACGGTTCCGCCCCAACTATAGCATCTGTGCCCACTGTTGAGCTGCAGATGGGCTGGCCCAACTATTGTTGACCAATTTCTATAGAAATTTTCTCAACCTTCATGACCTTATCCAAGTTTATGCATCTCTTACACTTCATCTATGACATGACACAGCCTCACAGCATGCGAGGATACAATGAATACGACTTTGGCACATGCTGGACACATGCACACTGGAACTCTGTGTTGTAGTTGGGCCGGCCCAATTACATGTTTACTCAAGTCGTTACGAGTCCAAAAATAGTTGGGGCTGATGTTGTGATTGGAGCAGTATTATACATACATTGCTACAGACTTCATAGAAAACAGACCGTGTAAGGCCTGCTTACATCACAATGGACAAAATTAAACAGGTTACAACTTGCAGGCAAAGTTGAGGAACAATTATCTTTTAAAATACAAGGGAAGTATTAGGCCATATGTGTATGAACAGTAATAGAATTCACTCATCCCTCACCTCCAGAAGGAAAAAGACAGAATCCTTACCACCACACTGGAAAGTTACGTTTTGCTTCGCGCAGGTCGAGTCATGTGCCGTTTACGAAAGCTAAACCAGCGCCCTCAATTGGCTGGTATTCGATAACATTTTGATTGGCTGTTTGTTTTTTGGCGTCAGTTTTGCAGTTTTGCCTCCTCCAGTTCGACGAAAATCGAAAGTGCAGTTCTCGCGATAAAACCCAGGCCTACAAAAAATGGAGTCAGCGGAAAGTTCATCGGAGCAAGGTAATACAGCTCATTACTAATGGGCTTTTTGTAGGCCTGTTACTATTAGGATATGTTACGTTTGCACCGTAATATTGCAGTGACGAAGGCAAACTTTACTCGGTCCTCGGCGCATGACATTGACATGTATGGTGTCAGGTGTCCGGAAATTGGGCGGAAGAAATTATAATCTTCTGAACTCTCTGACGTGCCTAGACCTTCTGAAGTTGCAGTCAGCAGACTTGGGCGAGTTGTACATACTATCGTGCTGGTGCTTCCTTGAGACGCTCTAATGATGTTGACAGCTAAAATGTTGCATCCTGACTCCACTTTTCTCATATCATCTCACTAAAAGTCAGTCATTACAGAAATGCTGCAAGACACGAATTCTGGACTGAGAAACATTTACCGATGTTGTTGGGAAATATGCAAAAAATTCTCTTCACTCCCCATAGACTCTGTACACAGCTGCTGAAGTGGAGTCAGGATTCAACATTTTTTGCCTAATACTGTTGAATCTGGAAACACGTCACATGCAACTTTTAGAGCTGAACTTTTTAATTGTTCAGTGCTCGTAAGTAAGCTACTAAAGCTACCAAAGTCACTTCTAGCTCCACGCCCCAAACTAACCCTCAAGTCAGTAAAATGTTTTCTCGTGGAGGCTTTGCCAACTACATGTATACATGATTCAGATTCAGACAACATCTGAGTAATGCTGATGCTGTAATTCCCGACGCAAATGCGTGCTGCTTTCCTCTACCCTTTCCTGTACCCTTTCAAGTTTATGATGTGACAGTTTTTATCGGGGTCCCAGGCATGGCACATGTGGCATGTTCCAAAATAGGTTTGACCAGCGTTGTACATGTAATGTATATTATACAATGGTCTTCACTTCCTTGGAGCAGAACCAAAGGTTTCTTCTCAGGAATCCCAATGTCCGCTTGGCCTTGATGGCAGTGTTACCCACATGTTCCCCCCACACGAAAGTTTACCATCAAGTTGGACCTCAAGGTATGACTGTGAACTTGTATGACAAAGTGTACGTTCACAAAAAACATCGTGAGCGGTTTCTTTTTACATGTATTTGAGATGACTATAATAGAGCATTTAGTTGGGTTGCATGATTCAAGGGATTTTTATGATCTTGTTGTAAAAAGTTCATATCCTCTGCACTGGAAATTGGTGTGTACATGTATATAAGACAATCCTCTGCAAAATCCTTGTTTTACACTTAATGTGATCCGGTAGGGCGTTAATGTAAGTCAGGAACAAAAGAGGTCCGAGGACTGTGCCTTGTGGTACTCCTGACAAAACTTGTTTTCCAAACAAACGCTTCCTTCGCAAGCCATCCTTTGTATCCAGTTTTAGAGAAAATCCCAAATCCAACTATGCAAATTATTTCTGATTCCATAATAATCCAACTTCCCGAGAAGTTTTTCATGAGGAACCTAAAACGAAGGCCTTAGAAAAGTCCAAAATTGCCATGTATCCTTACAACATGTATACAAAAAGACATCTTTCACGACTTCTAGGGTTGAGTCAATTCAAATAATTCACTATTCGAATATTCGACCTTCAATTTGATCGAATATCCAAATATTCGGCCGTACAGACCTGCAGATTGTTGATGAACAAACCATACACAAAATCAGTTGCAATGACACACACAATTGTACATTATAATCAATAAAATAGATTCTCCTATCTAGGAGAATCTCCAGCCATGATTTAGCAACATTTAAGAGATGAACAATACTTCTTGCAGTGTTGTAAATTTCTATTCCTTTTAAATTGTTTAATGAATAATTTACTTTTTGAAAAGTTGTAAGATTTCTGTCTCTTTTTATTTGAATCTGCTTGAAACAAGCCTCCGTAGTACAAAAATTTTCCCTTTTCATGAATTTTGCATTCGAATATTCAAATTCAGAAAATAATATTCAAATATTCAATAATCGATTGAATGTTAGGTTATTCAGATAGTCGGCACAGCCCTAATGACTTCACCATTTGGTAGTGTTTAGACCTGTAACACGGCCCTTCATATGCTCCTTAATTGACACTTGGCCCTGACTTGAGATTGAAAACAGGGGCAACTTCTTTCACTTAGTACCTGCTATGTTTTAATGAGCTCAAATTTATCTAGAATCTTCTAGACCCATCAGACTGTGTAGGTTACAATTCGCAGAGAACATGTCTTGTGTTCAATTTTTAGAAGAAAGTTATTGTCAGCTTCTGGCAACTTCACTGTGACCACTACACAATGCTGCACATGTGTGCACAGTGCAGCACCCACATCACATCAATCTTAGTCATGAGTGACCTTCTGACGCAAAAGTGAAAAAAGAAGGTCCTTAAAACATGCATGTCGGGTTTTTTTTTATTGATCACAGGTTTTAACTTTATGATTATGACTTTTGAACATGTTGAAATATTTACTTAAACGTAGACATGGGCTGATATTGACTGTGTAAGTTTCACCGTTTTGTCATGACTTTTTCCTCACCGACCGTGCAGTGCTGTCACTCAGTATTAAACGGGAATTAGATATCTCACATGGCATTAATTGGCTACTGGTAAGTTTGCTCTTGAGGGCGCAATACAGTGTACATAGGTTGATAGCAAAAATATACATGTGCATGTTGAAAACTTCATACATAGGGGATCAGTTGTTAACTTGAAGGTTTTACTTCTTGTTCCATGCAGACATTATGCTGGAGAGACTTGCCAGGTGGAAAGCACAGAAGGCCCTTAAGAAACAATACACCAGTTCCATTGGGAAGGCTCACCATAATGATACCAAGCTGGTGGGCAGACAGCCTCTCAAAGAAGCCAGGCTAGGTAACCGTACACATAACACCAAAACACAGCACACATCTACAAGCAAAAGGTATGTACATGTAGATCATTGCTATATAAAAATGTGTTTATTGGTATAGGGCAAATTGTTGCTAAATGTCGTTAAAAGTTGGGGGCATGAGTGAATGGGAATGTTTCAAAAGGCTGACAAAAAGAGCTTAATGCAGTTGAGAGGTAGCAATACTGCCTTTTTTCTGGGTCTCGTAGGCAAGCCGCTGAGTGTAAGTCCAACCTTGAAGGCCTAAAGACTAGCAAGGACAAAAGAAGCAACTCCAGTACCTTGGTAGAGAAAGCACCAGAGCAGGAAATGACAATGAGGTAAGAGCAGAATGACTTAAAGCACACAAAATTTCATCAGAATGTGCACAAATTCAGTCCGGGGAGTACTGAGTGCACAGTGGCAGTGCCATTCTAGTGTCTCTCTCATTTGTGTTTATGTGTGAGTTTGTCACAGTGAGAGGGTACTTGTTTAAGTGGGTAGTTGAAACGCCCCCACCCCTGTTCACTTTACTTTTATTGCGACATGTACATGTAGAGTTCAAGCATGATCACACACATGATGGCTGTGTATGATAACAGATTGGTATGAGAAAGAATTCCACTGCCAGACAAAACATCAATTACAAGATTAGTCATCCTTTATTGGATGTTTGATTGGATATCAATCACTAATGTATTTCAAACTACTTGCTGCAGAACATTAACAATACATCCCATGCTAATAAATGTAGTAGTAATGAATAATTACAGTGTACAATAGATCTGTTGGGAGGATTTAGCTATTTCACTTGTCTTTACCTGAGCTGGAGGGCTACCCCTGGTTATAAAATTGAAGGATCATTGTTATTTAAATTGTAAGGGAGGGGTGCTAGGAGTCCCAACCTTGGCACATTTGTGTCAAGTTCACCCATTTCCTCTTCAACCGGAAACCATGGAATGAAGTGTGTTATGTTTCAGACATCACCACAGTCCGTTCTTTTCACAAGCCTAGCCCTTAGAATTGTTGGGGGGCGGGAGACTTTTTACAGTCATATTACCACTCAACTTTGTGAAAATCGAATATGCCGTTCTTGCACAGTGCCCATTTTTCTGAGACCCTCCCCCCCAGGCTGTGAGATGGTCCAACATAACCCGGTGCTTTCGGGGTTAAACGAGACCAGCTCCCAATAAATGAACCGATAGCGGTTCACCTGCCCACCTTTCACTTTAGTTGGTGAACTACATTGCATACATTGTAAAATCGGCACTAAACGTAAAGACAGCCTGCCATGCAACATCTGACTTCCTTTGTCATTCATGGAACCAAGTCGATAATACACAAGTAATGAATGACTGTGATTGCAATAGCTGGTTCAGTGTTCCATGCCGGGAGGTGACGCTAAGTGGAATGGAACATTGAATGTCACTAAATGAAATGAGTCTTTCCATTGCACAAATGTGAAACGCCCATTGCTTGTTTCATACATCTGAATAAATTCTGTTCGCTGTCGCTGCTACATCTGATTCAAACCAGCCAGCCGACACCGGTGAGCTCGATGGTCGAGTGGTTAAGATGTCTGCACTAGTAAGCAGGAGGTCGTGGGTTCGAGTCCCACCTAAGTAAGGCACACACTGAGTATACAGTGTTAAAATACACGTCTGGCACGGCCAAAAAAAATCCCAAATCAATGAATAAATTCTGTTTCTGTAAAAGGCGTTATTCAGCTTGTTATAAAGGTGAGAAAACTTTTCATGTTCTTAGCCACAAGTGAAAGTTTGTGTGAGGAACTCTGCATGCGACTGCACCTTGCCAGAGTGCACGCTTGTGATACAGCACGCCTATGGGAAGAGCTATTGTTACATTGTACTGTCTATGGCACATGCATGTCATTCATTGCTGTATTTGCCCAATTGGAGTACGTGTATATTCAGTGAGCACGCTGGTGAATAATACATGTACCAAATGAGTCAACGGCACATGCTCAACAACCCACTAATCACATGACGGGGATTTGTTCTGTTTGCATAGTGTTTACCTATATTTATTTGTTTACTTTTTATATTTCTTATCAAATGTTTCCATCTGAACAGGGAAAAACTGGAATTATGGAGGGCGCAAAAACAGCCGAAAAATAACACCCAATGTCGGACTTTGCATTTATTGCAAAAGAAAGAAAGCACCACTGGGAATAGGGCCAAAATCACACCTTCATCAAAAGCCACACTGCCACCTCAGACCTCCAGCCTCAAAGGCTGTGACAGCGGAAAACAGAGAAAGTTGTCAATTTTGACTCCCAAAAAGGACCTCTTCAGAACTCCAACATCTGTCAAGAGCACAGCCCATCACTCTGCCAACTTGAGCATGCGACAGTCAACTGCCCGGACTGCCCAACGTCCAGGAGAAAGTCAATCCCGCACCACAGAGCCACACCACACTACAAACAACAATGCAATGAAGAGCCGTCTTGCAATCAAACGGAGCAGCCCCACTCAGGAGGAACCTTCCAGAAAGCGGAAGGTCGTGACCTTCCTGGGCACAGACTCCCTCGTGAGATGTAGTCCACGTTTGCAAGAACGGAGCCGGGAGTCCACAGAAATTAACAGGCATGGTCAGGAACAAGCCACACCCGTACAGCCATGGAAAGACAAGAAATTGGACATGCAGTAAGTCACTTTACTCATGTTGCTTATTACAGACAATACAGGGAAGTTAACCACTTCGTGCTGTGGTGCCCAGAACCGGAGACGTTGGCTTTATATGTGAAGCCAGGGTGCCCGAAATCCGACAAAGGAGTTTGGCCTTGTAACAAAAGGCTGTAATCGGAACAAAAGACAGGGCTGCTGGGAATTGCCAACATTTTTTTGAGTTGTCAATAGCAGAGGAAATCCATCATTGTTTAGAAAGATTATACTACTGTTTGTGGCATTCAGTGCGAGCGGATTACCCCTGGGACAAAAGTGCTCCAGGGATGAGCGATACAATCTGCTGCACGCCAGCAGCCCATTCGGCAAGTTTTGAAAACAAAAGAAAATGACATAACACCGCACAATCTGGGCTCTTTTTACAAGGCGGCAGGCCTGGCTGAAATACTCAGGCATTAATAGATGTTTGTCAGATTAGAGTAGCCACCAGTCATTCGTGTGGGTGTAAACGTTCAGTAAATGAAGTTTTGAAGAATTTTGAAAACGGAAAATCTTGAAAATTCCCCGGGCATCCGTCATGCCACTTCACATTAAACCCGGCAAGATATGGTTAAAGCACACAAATCAACAAATCATCTCTATTCCTATAAAGAGCAGCAGTGGAACAGGCCAATTGAACCCTACAATGTAGAAAATGATCTTAGCTACATGTATGTGTATACGTATGCATTGTAACACACCTGTAACAGGAAAAGAATGAAAGAAGTATGTATTGAAGTGAAAAAAGGTTAGTTGCATAGGAAAAAAGGCTCAAAGCTCAAGAAAAGAAGTTTGAAACAAAAGTTGTCGAAAATACCTCAAGATTTGCATCGAGCATAAAGAGCAAAAAGGGAAAAAGCATGGAATCAGGCTTATATGGAAATGTTTATCCTCCTGTGTACCCAGTGTGGGATTCAAACCCAGGTCACAGATGGCTGGGGAAGAAAGTACATGTAGTTTTGTGTATACCTTAGGGCCAGCTCATACATGTGCCTCTGTGAATTTTGCAACTTCACAATGTGAATGCTTTTTCTAATGTCAAAAATGGTGTCCACATTCACTTTTCCACCAAGTATTAACGAGCCTTAATTTTCCAACCCTGTTCTCTGACAGGCTTTTGACTTCCATACAATTTACTGCAGCGATACCTTACCTGCAGTACATACGTGTATAGACATCATTTACCGTTAGAACTGTTGTTAACCTTTTTCATCACAGACAGCGATTGAAGCGGTGGCTGGCTAGCAAGGGCAAGACACCCTCCAAATACAGCCACCTGCTCAGCTTCAAGACGACCCCCGCTGATCGCATCAGGCGGAGCCTGGCCTCCCAGCGTGCCACGCCCACCAAAGCCCCGATGCCGGTGTGGCACCTGGACTCAGACCCACCCACTTCCCTGGACAGCAGCACTAGTCAGGAGGAGGACGAGCTGATGGCTGCCCTGAACAGTACAATGGATGAGTGCTCACTACTGCTGCAGTCGGTAAGGGATAATGGATCAGTCTACATTAAAATGAGATATCATGCATATTTAACCCTAACCGCCAAGCATATTGTTTGGCTTACAGTACTCAGTACTACAAAATACTAAGTAATAGTCTGAGCCTGAAGGACCTAGCGCTACAAATTACTACTTCTGGCTAGGTTACTCCCATTGTTATTCGTACAGAGAACAATAAAGCCATGCATTCATAGTGCCACAGCACTGTATGGTACATTGTATTTTATGGCTTCACAGATCAATAAAGTCATGTCCTCTTACAAGCGACAGCGCTCAGTACTACATTTTACTACAAGTAGTAATTTGTAGTATTATGTAGGGTTAGGGTTAATGTTGTAAATCTCTCAGATATGTTAAGCATGATCACGCGCACACGTGCATTATCATTTTGGGGGATTTTATTCCCATTTAAAATGCAAAGGATGTTTTCCTTTCGAGACAGTGATGGATTTTGTTGGATGCAGGAGGCCTGTAGAAGAAAATCCTTGTCTGTAGGTCATTCCAGTTTGATTCTGTAGAAAAATTCCGAATGATAACTGTGTTCAATTTGAAATTAGTGGTTGGAAATTTTTTTTACAGGGCTGTCCAACGGACCATGTGACTGAATGGCTAGACAGCCTAGTAAGCAGAGTCCCAGCCATGCGTCAGTGCAGCAAGTACTGGCTCTGCAGAGTCTCCATTGCAAAGGAGGAAGAGCTTGATGCAAATGAGATCATCCATATTTATGAGGAGGCAGTACAAGAAGGTGCACAGGTAACCACTGCATACAACCACTAATGATATTCCTATGCATTAATGAGGGAGAGCACTATGTCCTCCTAACATGCCTAATGATGCCTTGTGAGCAATATACATGTACTTCATTAATTCCACACATAATGTATGCCCAGATTTTTTTTCCCCAAATCTTTGGCATCATGCTTCATCTTCATGAATTGGTTCCCTCTGGAGCAGTACTGCTCTGTTTAAAATCAGATTGTCTCATGTCTCTTTTTGATGTACTTATGATCAGTTGGAACAGTTGAGGTTTGAACCTGAACTAAGTTGGAGTGAGAATCAAGGTTTCTGAAAACTGGCATAAGTGTTCCCAGTTTGAAGAGCGCTTTTGTAGTTAGATAGTTAGAACAGGCAGCATTTCCAACGGACCTCTCCAAGAGCTCAAGAGTTTTGAGGCATCCCCAACCCCATTCTCACTCAGTCTGTGGTAAAGAAGACAGTTGCTTGTCAAGCATAAGACAGGAATACACTGAATCACAACTCGGCCAAGTGTAATCAGCAACCCCATACAAAACCACTGGTCAATCTTCCCTGGTGACCTATACACTAATGGTACCCTGGTTATCAGGTGAATCAATGAATGGACTTAGCTAAGAGTTGACAGAGCATCCTGTTCCAACTAAAAGACAGAGAATGTTGAGCTCCATTACCTATCACACTTCAACCCCTGTACTGCCAAATCCTCTCACAGCCAGTCCAAGCTGTCAAGGAGTCACTCCAGCAGTATGTGGAGAAGCTGATAAACACATCAACACCCACTAAGTCCACATCGAGAATCTATCCAGCATGTGCATCGGCCAAAGCTGACCCTGGGCCCCCGACACCCAAGGGTAGCAAGTACTCCCCTGCCATGGAGCAACTGCTGCAGTCCTCCGTGCTGAGATATTGCCTGACAGAATCCACACCATACTTTGACAGGTGAGTTAGTTTCAAAAAAACATCACGACGAACAGGGTTCCCGGGACCTGGAAAAGTCATGAAAACTTCATAGGAATTTATTTTCATTTTTCAGGCCTGGAAAACTCATGGAAATTTATTAAAATGACTAAAGTCATGGAAAAGTCGTGGAATTTTTCAAACACTGTGTGTGATTTCTATTTTAAGAAATAAGTGCATGAATTGCGGGATTTTATTCGCAACTTTAAAAGTCCAAAAAGAAATACAGTCGAACCTCATTAATAAGAGCACTGTTAATACAAGATTCTGCTTAAAGCAAAGAAATCTTCAGGTCCCAGTCTTTTGTTACTCATTGTTTTCACTCCAGATAACACAAGGCTCCTGTTAAAACAAGGTCATTTGCCAAGTCCGAAGACCTTATTAACGATGTTCGACTGTAGCATTATTGGGTCATGGATTTTCATAGTTTGGTCACAGAAAAGTCATGGAAAAGTCAGATTAGATTTGAAGCTTTTGATGTGGAGGTAGTATTAAATAGGTTTGCATTAGCACCCCGGATATATCTCTGGTTTGGGTATGTGGGGTTCTGAAAAGAACAGGTGGTACTCAACCTTTCGGACAGTATGCTCTGTCCATCGTCAGGAGAAATTTAATTGTCCTTTAGGTGCAGGAACCCCGTACGAATGAATCTGTACGCATGTTGTTCTCTCTTTGGCCAGTCTGTGATTAAAATTTAAGTTTAAAGTTTAATTCAAACAGTCTCACCAAAAGGGAAGACAACTTCAGAATGAATTCAGTATGTCAGCTACAGTTGAAATAATGAAAGGAACACTTGATCCAGTCGTAAAAGCAATTGTGTAACACGGATTGTGAAGCCCTTTCAAAGTTTTGTCAAGATAATGTGCTCTTGGGTTTTACTTCACCGGAAGAAACATGTATTCTTAAGATTCAGGAATATTGTTAGCATCATTATGCTGGGATTTCGGGTTGATACTTTGATTGTAATGTTAACCCTCCATGATCCTTAAATTTCATCAGGTTTGGAAAGTTTATGAAGGATTCAGGAAGAAGCCCTTAGTACCGATGGACCACGATACCTCAGACAGTAATACATGCCATTAGTTACCTGCACTGCAGACAATTTGGGGGCTTTGTGTAGGTTTATAGGGAAGGGCTTACGCAGTGGTTAGGGCTGAGTCAATTCAAGTAATCCACTATTCGATATTCGACCTTCAATTTGATTGAATATCCAAATATGAGGTCGTACCAACTGGCAGATTGTTGGTGAACAAACCATACACAAAATCAGTTGCAACAACGCACACAATTGTATATTATAATCAATATAATCGCTTCTCACATCTAAGAGTATCTCCAGCCACGATTTAGCAAGGTTAAAGAGATGAACAATACTTCTTGCCCAGATGAAAATTTCAATTCCTTTTAAATTAATGAATAATTTACTTCTGAATTGTTGAAAAATTTCTGTCACTTTTCATTTAAAATCTGCTCGAAGCAAGCCTCCATAGTGCAATTTTTCTCATTTATAAAAACAAAAGAAAATGTCGCCTTCTCATGAATTTTGCATTCGACTATTCAAATTCCAAAAAAATAATATTCAAATATTTGATAATCAACCAAGTATTTGGTAATTCGTCATAGCCCTAATAATGTTGTTTGGTAAATTTTACATTTCCAGGATTGATTTCGATTTTTGGAATTGTGATTCCATTCCAATTGATTCTAATGATTCTTGAATGGAATTGCTAAGCAATGTCACACAGTTATTGGTAGGATTAAACACTTCCTGCCGGGTGGATTTTTCTTGAGCAGGATGAGATGACGGGACCTTTTCAAGATTTTCCGTTTTCAACATTCTTAAAAATTCATGTGTTCATTTACTGGACGTTTACACGAAGGACTGTCTGGTGGCTACTCTTATCTGACAGGCAACCTTCACTGACGCCCGAGTATTCAGCTAGGCCTGCAGCCCTGTTAAAGAGAGCTCAGAATTGTGAGGTGTAGCATAATTTCCTTTGTTCCAGTGAATGCCAGTAGTGTCTTTTCATACGCAGCTGGATTAGCGAGCAACGGTGCTGTGTCACTAATCAGTTGGGCCCTGGAGCACTTTTGTCCGTAGTCCGCTGCCGCGCTATGCCCAAAACAGTGGTATACTGTTTCAAAACAGTGCCGGATTACCTTCGAAAAATTGAAGTCGAAAAATGATAGCAATTCCCAGCAGCAGGTCCTTGTTCCAAGTACAGTCTTTTGTTACACAGACCAGCTCCTTTGTCCAAAACTGGGCACCCAGGCGGGAAGTGGTTAATAGTAAATTTACATGTCTGATATATTTGTAGAATTCGAGCAGCCATTGGCCAGCAAGCCCCCTCCACAACCCCCAACCTGACGCTGGTGACACCTGTCCGCCGCTCCATTCGTCTGGAGGGCCGGCGCTCAGTCCTTCCTCTCAACCTGCAGGAGCACAACATGTGCCTGGCATCCCTGGATGACCTGGCCCCGCAGGAGTTCATCCTTAGAGCCAACCGGGCTCTGGAGGGAGACTTACCAGAGGATGGGCCAAACTCAGAGTAGGGAAACCCAATTAGTTTCCTGTGAAATTTGGCAACAGAATTACTGTTGTTACCATTTTTTTTCTAGCTTCTTTCAAACTGAGAAGTACCCCCCAAAATTCGAACAATCTAACAAAATTAAATAAAATGTCAACATTCTTCCAACATTAGAAACTCCTTGGGTTTTTATTAAAAGTTGGAGCGTTAGGAGTCTCTCCTTGTTTAGACCATTCACATCACTCTGTTATGTGAGCACTGAGAACTCCAAAAAAGATCTTGTCCACAATACTGCTCACAACTTTTAGTTGATTCTTATGAGCTCCGATCCCCATGAAAACAGGGTTGGTCACTTTACAGAGTTCAAAGCTCCTCCAACAGGCTCCTGTACAGGCGTTCCAAATTCCAAAGAAAAGCTAACAAGGCTGATGCCTTGTTAGCTTTTCTTTGGAATTTCCCATTTTCTTCCAATTCCTACATTGTGTTGCAAATACAACAAAAAACAAAACTTTTGAAAAATCTCAAACACTAGCTACTTCTTCATGTAAAACCTGGTCATCTGTTTCTTTCAGAAATATGAAATATTCCAATTAATACAACGTGTAAATACATTTACATTGCAGCATAACACTGTTAAAATATTACTTTCTATAGACTTGTTTTGGGTATCTATGAATTTATTTCTTCATAAATTGTTTAGAATTTTAAAATTTTTCTAGAAAAAACTGTACCCTATCGGTACAATTCACCTGCAGTATTGAACTTTTACATTTTTTATTTTGCATTGTACATTTTATTAATTTAATGCAGCATTCATTTCTGATGAATTTTATAATTCTTGAATGCTTTCATTGCACCCACTGCATTGATTCCAATTTGTTCAACAGGAAGTGAAATCAAATTCAAAAATGTGAAAAACAAAATGCGTTTTAAAGGGACGAGCATGTCTTCAGTCTCTGCTGTTATTCAATAAAACGTTAGTTTGGAACTGAAACGAGTAAAGCAGTAAACTTTGTATCATATGCAGCTGTGTAAAGTACAAAAGATACTTGTGAAGGTCACTATTGTTGATTGAATAGCTCTGCACATATGTTTTATCTGCCAGTCTAGCATTACTTGAAATGGACTGCATTGTTCAATGTTTATCTTTGTGAAATAGAATCCAATCCAAGCTTGTAGGGTTTAAGACTACCAAAATTTGTTGGTTTTGCAGGAACCAAACAACTGTAAAATTATAAGGTACTGAAGTGTGGATGCGAATGTGTTTTTCAAAAGTGATTGGTGATGTTGTCGTCAAGGATACTGAAGTCCTTGATCCTGATTGGTCAATCCATGATAACAGATCATGCTACATGTGTAATGCTTTATACAATACCTGCATAAATCCCTGTCATCTGATTGGTAGATTGTTGATCACATGTCAGTGAATTATTAGTTCCATTCAACAATACCCGTTAAAGTTGAATAGAACTTCACTTGACTGGTTCCAGCATGCATTCCATATACATATGTATAAACAAATAATCAAATAATGAATGTTTCACATTCGTGTGATGGTAAGAATTGTCTTCCGTGACAGATGAAATGTCCTGTTACACAAGGCAAAGTCGAGTGGAATGAAACATTTCATCGGTCACCTCATGATTTATTCTTACCACTGCATTTGCATACTATTCTAAGGGTAGGCATATGTAACTATCAGCAGTTTAATGATGACCGTGTGTGGCGTATACTTGTCACGATTGCTTTCAAATAAATTTGCATTATGCATGATCTCAGAAGCACTTTTGGAACACAAAGTAAGCACATGTACACACATGTATAATATGCCTGTGTTTTACATACAATATGGCCAAAGGCTGAAAGGCATTTTGAACACAAAAGCACTTCATTATTCTGTGATTGACTAATGCTTGTGGTATTTACAATGAATCCTTATAAAATGTCAAATGCTGTCTTCACACGTCAGCCAGGTATTCTGTTACATCACATTGCAATCTCCCACAGCTTAGAAGTTAGATTTGAAGGAATAACATCCGTCAGGTCGATTTCATGAAAGTACTCCAAGCGGTGGCTGTACGGGAAATACAAAACAAAAATAATGAAATATTCGTTCATTCCTGTCATGAATTTTATCTCATTTCATTTCATTTACATTTCAGATTCACTTCCAAGTCACATTTTTTCATAACTTTGCATAACATTCCAATTCTGATGGACATTATCTCAGTGTTAAAAACCTACCGAATAATATACATAAAGATTGATGTCATGGCTGTTGTGGACCAAACAAAAAGGAATTGACAGCAGGAAGATTTACTCTTGCAACTTTCGACATGTATGTTTGAGTCATAATATTCTGTAGTAGCTCATTGCAATTATGATAAGAATAACCACAGGGCCTCCAGCCACCTGTAGACCTAACAAAAGGAACACTGAAACCGACAGTTTGGATGGACAAAATGAATATGCATTTAAGAGGATTTCCATTCTCAGGAGAAATATACCAAAAGGCCTCGCTCACAAAAGCTCAAACAAAGCACGAGTCAGTTCTTAGTTGGTCAAAACAATTACGTTCAAAGCTGACTGTGCTCATGAAACTATCAACTTCCAAATACATTTCTGGATACTGTAAATTAACAGATTGACAGCCATGCCCAAGCAACAACCCAAGCTTCATCCATTATTCATGTACTTAGTTCCATTCAGTGTTGAATCTTTTTTCAACGGAATTGGTAGTTCAGAGTGCCCATGGTTTGGCTTATAATAGGCCCTGATCCCTTGTTAAAAACTCCATTTTTGTGCACGAGGCAACTGTAACATGATTGATGAAAGCAGCCCCTGATCACTCAGGCATGATATTCTGTAAATGATCCTGAATCCCAGTACCAATGCCAATGGACGGCATTTCTGAAAATAATACCAGTTTCATTTTTGTGGACACTTTGCTGAGGAGCTTTTGGATACACCCTGTATACAGGGATGAGATTTCTCGGCTTTTTAGCTGATTGCAGCTTTTCTAATTTTTGGATTTCAGCTTTTTTTTCCTCACTGGCTGTGTACAAAAGTATAACAGATTTTAACAGTTCAGTTTCTTTCTGCCTTTTTTCGGCTGTTTTCAGCTATTTTTATCATTGGTCAATCTCAACTCTGTGTATAACTGGCTGCGAGTACAAAACTGAAGGAATAACTCCAAAACATTTTTTTTAATCTCGCAGAGCTATTAAAACACTAGAATTATAAACAGTTCAAATCCTAACTGAAATTTCACCCATTCTAAAGCCTAACTGAAAATACCCCCACGGTCAACACTACTGGAGAAAATGTGCAACTTTGGGGGGGTGGGGGAAGCTGTTGCCATCCACATCTGAAATTTCTGCAAACGTTAACTGCCCATACAAAATGGCAGCCACCATATGTAAACAAAAGAAAGGTCAACAAACCTGCCAAACACTTCAGCTTGGAATTCAAAGGGTTACAGACATCCTGTGTTTGAAACCACCAATCAAACATGGAAAACCTGTAAACTGTAAAATCAACCCCAGTGGAATCTCGCATACTTACAAGTCTGGGTTGTCATGTTTGCCCTTGGGTGCATGATAAAGTGCTTCGTACATTCGCTGCTCATCTGATCCATGGATTGCATAAGCATTGAATCTCTTCACACCTGGTGGCAAGTATTCCAGTGGTATTTTGGCACGGCCTCTCCAAGTTCCTTCGTCGGAATTGATGGCAGATTGGAAAACAAGTGACAGTTTTGTCTGCATGAAAACCAAACATTAAAGAAAAAGTTTATTATGTACTAGTTAACTGAACTAGTTTTCCAGAGGTATCAGCTGAATACAAAAGAATAGTTGATTCAGATAAATAATCTTCTGTGAGAATAGAATATTCAGAACACATTTTCAGTAACCTTTGCAGTGGATAGGGTGAATTAAAATAAGACTGATACCTTTTTTTTTCTTTTAGAATTCTTTCTCCCAATGTTTGCTCATTTAAATTTGATAAATTTGTGCCCTTACATCAATGTTATGATGAACACTATACTCTGTGCTTTTCCTGAGAGCTTGGAGAAAATTCACAAGCTGACTGGGATCGGCTAATTCAGATTGGCCAGCCGACAGCAGCAAGCTCAGTGGTCGAGTGGTTAAGACGTCTGCATTAGTAAGCAGATTGTGGGTTTGAGTCCTACCCGAGTAAGCTTGTGAGTTTTTCCCAAGCTCTCAGGGAAAAGCACCAAGTGTACATAACTTTCGTCAGTTTATGTACATACTCTGTGTTTATGTACAGAAGACTTGCATCAAGTGCCTTGGAGTGCCTGTGTTAAACTAAGGTAATCAACATTTTTTAAATAAAATGAAAAAAACAGTGAAATTTGTTTTTTCAATACTGGTTGGCAGAACCCAAGAATGCACCAAAAGGTACTATTTTTGAAGATCTTACAGAAAAAAGAAGAGTACTTCTGGAATGAAATACCTTGTAAAACTTCCTAATTCCACTCAGCAAGAGAACCAAGTGTTGGCCGTGCCTAGGTTAAACAATAAAGACAACTTTACCAGATCATTTCAGGTTTCCTCCTTTTTCTGAGATTGGAGGTGTAAAGGAATACGTGTACCCTTTACTTACATAGATAATGGGACAGAACCAAACTTAATTTGCATAGATAAAGGCTCCATTGAAATTGTGTTTTCAAAAACTAACACAGGTATACTCACGGACAGAGTTCCACTTCTAAATATTTCTCATCGTCCCCAAGGAAGAAAGCTTCGACAACTGGAAAGGTGGGAAAAATAGTATAAGGTTATTGAAATTAAGGCAAATTATCATGGAATGAATTCCACTTCCCCTCCATTAACTGAATTTCTCAACAGATATTAAAGGCATAAAATGAAAAACAAAAGAGAAGCAATGAGTACAGTCTTTGTGGAGAGTTCATTTCAAACATGAACAAAAATAGGCGCCACTTTGGCACCTATTAGAATCCCATTCTCTCCTGCTTGCCCAACGTCAATTTCAATGGGTTTTATGACATTAAACACAACTTCATTGAGCATTAAAGTGAAGAATGAAGTTCAGGTAAATCAGGAATCTATATGTACGATTTGATTCTTGAATATTTGACAACTGTGGAAGAATGTCACTTTTTTTGAAATGGATTTATTGCATTTTGGACATAAGCACTTCACATGCAGCATCATTTTCATGTATCTCCCACATTTAAAATGTTGGGCCAACGTTGTGATTCTCAACCTTAAGATTTTTAAGTCATGGCAAGTCAAGCTTTAAATTCCAAAATTTCTCTTTAAATAGTGGCAGGCATGAAATCCATTTCCTATACAAAAGCAAAGCCCACACCAAAAGCTTTCCCCACTCCCTTAGCCTTTCACAACTTTAGACATTATTCCTGCTTCAAACTGCCCTTCGTAAATTAAAGAAACAAAAAACCTATATAACCACAGCTGAAGCTGTGACAGAGGATCTTTGTTACATATCTTATCCCCTTTTCCCATACAAACAATTAGGGCCCCCTTTACCTCATCAAAACCCTTTATTTGGAAATAAAAGTAAAATAAAGAAGTAAAATAGAGTGGCCACAGAGTGCATGTACTTGCCATTTGTTTCCAGGAAAACAACCATCTGTATATTTGTACCAGAGTTGTGAGACTTTTCACCCATTAAAACGATGGATAAATACGTTGCCTACAAGCAGGAAACTTCAAAGCACCAGTGGTATCCATCAGTGAGTTTTTGTTCACTTTTTGTTTTTATGTTTTTACCTTTCTGAGCAGTGACACATTTCAAGAACAATACAGTTCTCTTTATTTTGATCAACACCCATGTACATGTAAGCTTGAACAAAGAAACTGATTGCAGGTCGCCTTCCAGTCAGTGTCTGTGTTCCACCTTATGGCCTCTGTCAACTGTGGATCTAGAACCCAATAGGACGGAGACAAATGGTTCTTTCAGGCCATGATCAACCCAAAGTGGTTGGTAGGTGACACAGCATGGTCCAACTGTTTTGCGCACTTGTATCTGCAATGTCATTTTCCTTGTGCCCCAGATGCACAAGAAGTAGCTTTGTTGACTCTTAACTCAAGTTGGTAGCTGTCTCAACTGAACTGTTTGTCTCACTTGAAGAGTTCTGGTTGTGAAAAAAAAAACTTGGTTCTCTTGTCAATTTGCCCATTTGGCATTTTGTTTGCCAAAGAGACTGAGTGGTTCTGTTGGCAAGCTGAATTTTCCATATCCCTAACAGAAGTTTGGT